TTTAAAATTTTTGTCAACTATATATCAAATTATTAGTTTATGTATATTAGTATTATGACTAAAGGATGGTGTATTTTATTTCACCCGCTATTCACTCGATCCACCTGATTCATCCGCGGATGATGGATGGATTGGTTGTGGATGAAGAATTAAATGGTGATGGATGGGTTGGATGACGGATGGATCGTTGGCGGATGGAGGTAGATTAAGCTCCACCCGATCCACCTCCGATCCATTGCCAGCCCTACTACCAAAGCAAACATCAAAGCATTCAACAAACACAATAGGGCATTCATAAAATAACAAGGTATTCAACACACAATAGGGAGGATATACACAAATCGACCCCATAAAGATTAATAGCAGCAACACTACACAAAAACATACATGCCAACCATAACAAAGAATTGATAAACATAAAACATACCTTGAGACATGGTAGGGGAAATTTCCTTGTCAGAATCCTCTTCCTCAAGATATTCAATATGGACAACTGCTTCAGGCTACGTCAACTTCTTAGTGAATGATCTCTCCTTAATAGTTAACTCGTACAAACGATCAATCAAGGATTGAGACTCTAGGCGCTGCTTTAATTTTCTCACTGCAATTACAACACAAATAAGACCAAATCAACAAAAATAAACCTGCACTTAATTTGAAAAAATAAAATACCTTCAGCCTCAATAGTTTCAATAAAAAAAAAGAAGTGTCTTCGCCCAAAGAGTCAACCCTCTTTTAATCGAAGAGTTACCCTGACTCTTACAACTCGTCTTGATAGTGTAAGGATAGCAAAGGTCTCTCACATCCAATGAAACACCAAACTAATCACTTAGGAAATCGAGAATTCGCAAAATTCTCCTGTTTGGGGCAACAGTTGGCAAGGTGAAACCCAAACCCTAGATAGAAATTGACGAATAAGGGGGAAAAAAAAGGAAAAGTGTTCCCAATTACAAAGGGATACTCAAAGAAGCACACCCAACTATAGGCAGTCCAGTATGCCCTTTCCTTAAAAGATGGAATCTTGACTACAACCCCATCAGGAAAGCACGAAGCAGTACCAATCCTCTTCACATCATCCTTCATCAACAAGTGCGAAGGATAAACATCCTTGATAGGGACACACGTTTTAGCCAGTGAAGATAGGCTTCTTCACACCCTCCTCAGCACCATCAAACGCCACCTTCACCATATCATCCATCGCAAAACAACAAGCAAAAAAAAAACAGAGACTACAGAGGAAGAGAGAGAATTACATGAGAGAGAAATTCAAAATTGCAACGAAGAGAGTAAAGTGATTTCATGGAAGCCTGCACAAGCAATAAATACTCCAAAAAGTAAACCGCCAGTTGAGATTATCAAGGCACTTGCCTTAAAACCATTCCCCCACTTTTATTTTTGTTAACCATTGATAAATTTTCCAATTTGAAATACAAAGCATTTTGGTAATTTTCATTTTCAGGACTGAACATAAAAATTAGGGGAAATTGTTTGACCCATATTTCTAATTAGCCCACAAAAATAGCACTATCATTAAGAGACCCAAATACAAAGCCAAAGGAGGAGAAATCAAGCTAAGCGCTTTGATTAACACAAGTATAGAAAGAGAATTGATCGGCAACTAGTAAGGAAGCAATGCCAAAAATACATGAAGACACAAAGGAAAGAAAAATAAGCTATGAATATCTTCTTCATTTGAATATATTCTGGAAACCTATGTAAACCCTAGCAATAATTAGGTATAAATAACTAGAAATACATATATAGCAACATTCTCACCCTAATACTCGAAACTATTTTGCAAATTACTAAATAATATTCTCGTCTTTATTGATCAAGGAAGCAGCCCTTACTCAACATTGCCATCTTAACCCTTATTTTATTATTTATCTCAAGTTATTTATATTTCTATTGTTCTTGGTTTTTTTTATTATTTTTTTTATTGTGATTGCAGGATTGATTATTAATACCCCTAAAACTTAAAGCAAATTCCTAGAAACCATCCCTCTAAAATTTGTCCTAAACAGTTTATAACAAAAAGTTTTATATAAAAGGTTGTTTCTTATAAACTTTCCTTGGTTTTATAATGACCCGAGGAATCGCTCGAGCCAAAAACTATCCATAATCAATCAATAAATAATTTATTGTCTATACTTTCGATATTAAAAAGCGTTCCTAAAATCGTTTATGTGCCACATCATTCCCTTCTTATAGCATTGTGCCACATCATCACATAATGACACGTCATTACCAATTAACAAATCATTCGAACTATTATTAAAAAACTTTTGATGGGTTTCGAACACTAGTCCTCAAGAAAACAAGATCTACTTCCTTACCATCTTAGCCAATAATAATTGATGTCATCTATACATATAAATATAACTATATAAATGACATGCATTAATTAAAAAGGAAATATGAGATAAGAAGTTTGAAAAATAATAAATAAGAGGAATAAAATCAACATTTCACAAACAATAGAGTGTTAAAAATTATCATTCTATACTCCTTATCAATTAATAACATTATTTTTAACATTTATGCATAACATACATAATCGATCATAATATATTTCATTTTGTCAAAAAAGATGATAATATATTTTATAAAAAAACAATTTAATCAAAGTGGTAACCCGGTGCGACGCCCGGGCCGCACACTGGTTATATACTAAAAGACACACCAGCAATGACATGTGTCATTTCCTGATGTGTCCTTTATTTTTAAATTTTTTTATTCTTAAAAATTCCATATATAAAATTAATTGTATACATAAATAAAATATTTGATATGCCTTTTATGCATAACCTGCCAACTAAAAATCAAAGTATAAAATAAACAGTGCGTTTCTGGTGCGGCAGGGTGCCAAATCAGCAAATGACAAAGTAACCCCAAGACAAAAGTAACCCCTGACTGACTTAGTAACCCTTGACCAAGTATCCCCTGACTAACCAAGTAATCCCTAACTAATCTAGTAACCCCAAGTAATCCCTAACTGACCTAGTAACCCCCGACCTAGTAACACCAAGTAACCCCTAACCGACCTAGTAACCCCTAATTGACCTAGTAACCCCTGACCGCCGATATAGTAACCCCTGACCGGACCTAGTAACCCTTGACTGGACCACCTAGTAACCCCTGACCAGATCTAGTAGCCCCTTACCCACCACCAACAAAAAACTACCACCAACGAACCACTACCAACCTAAACCACCAACGAAACAAGATCTAGAACCCAGAACCACGAAACCACCACTACCCATCCACGAAACCACCACTACCCACCCACGAAACCACCATTATACACGAAAACAATTTGTTCTTCGTTCTTCAATTAAACAAAAAATTAAGTAATAAAATTTAACAACTTACAAGTTATATAATCAAAATCTTCAACAAATAAGCTTGAATTCAACATAAAATTCATAGAACATAAATTTCCAATAGTAAACCATTAATGAAGTTTGAAGAAAAAAGAGGAGAGAGAAATAAAATGGGGGAAAAATGTTATAGAAGATGGAAGAAGAAAATAGGAGAAAGAAGAATTATATATATATATGAAACTTTGTATATGAAACTTTGTATAAAACAAATTTCTTATTAACATAAATAAAAGATTTAATGTATCCATGCATAATATTATATATAGTAAAATCAATTTTAAAAATATTCATTTGACAAATAAGTTTTTTTATGATAAATTCATCACAATATTTAAGTAAATTTACTTATATAGTCAGTTCAGTATAAATCAGTAATCTTAAAGAAGAAATTTAATTAAAAATCAGTATAAATAATTCAGCAAATATATATAATTTCAATTCAATAAAATTAATTTTAGGTTAGCAAAATAAAGTGAAGTGAACGGGGCATAATTAAAAAATAATTATTAAAAAAGTTCCGTGCATGACACATGATCTAACCTAGTTATAGACTTACATTATATATTTGAAAGAGAAGGGATTAAGGGCATGTCACATTTACTTAATTTCAGTTCAGTTTAGTTCAGTTCAGCTCCAATCAGTTCATTTCAGTCAGTTCAGCTCCAATTAGTTCAGTTTAGTTCAGTTTAGCTCGTAATTTCCCTCTCTCATAAAATATTCATTTCAACTCAGTTCAGTTCAGTTCGAATCAGTTCAGTTCAATTCAGCTCCAATCAGTTCAGTTTAGTTCAGCTTCAATCAGTTCAGTTCAACTCAGTTCAGTAAATACGAACATGCCCTAAGGACTTTTGGGGGGACACCACAGCCTCCCTCATCGACTTATATACTACGTATATGTTATACTACTAAGGGTCTGTTCTCTTCACCTTATTTTTAGTTCAGTTCAGCTCCAATAAGCTCAATTCATTTCTTATCTTAATTTTCTTCTCTCATACAATATTCAGTTTAGTTTAGTTTAATTTAGTTCAACTCCAATAAATTCAGTTCAGTTCAGTTTAGTTTAATCAATCAAAATAGGCCCTAACTAATACTAGTATTATACTCCCTTAGTCTCCTTTGATTTGCACCATCGACCCGCTATTTGTGAGAGCTTTTTTGAATCAAATGATACAAACATAAGGTACGAAAGGATTAGTAAAATAAGTCGTAATTAGTAAAATAAGTCGTAATTATGACGTTTAAAAAGGTAAAATATTATATGATTATCATAATTATACAAATGATTTGGCTATAAAAAATCCAAAACATTCACCATATGTTAAGAATATTATTATGGCCATCATTATTCACAATCTTTAAGTAGTAAATATTTTAGTTACTTCATTAATTAAAAAAAAAAGTGAAATTGCGTATAAAATCACGAAAATGCAAGCCCTCTCAGTGTGATTGTTGTGAACACAGTGACACAGTAGTACGGGTAGTCGGGTAGATGTCTAACGGGCAGCCTAACCTCCTGGCTGCCCGTATTCTTCGGGCAACTTGATTTTGCTTTTGTAGTCTTCGATACCATTAAAAAAAGAAGAGAGAGAAAAGGATTGGTAGAGAGAGAAATTAGAGAGAGAAACAACTGATAATTCAGAGTATGTTTTTTTCTTTCTTTGCGCATTTTTTTTATTTTTAATTATTTATTTCTGGGGTTTTGTTTGAATTAGTCACCCCTTTTTCCTATGAACTCTCACAATTTCTGAGATTTGCTGTACAGCCATTTTTCTGGGTGTTGTCCTTTCAAGTGAGAGAAAGAGTATAGCTCTAAAAACCCCACAATTTTTTTTTTTTCAATTTTAAGGGCTTATCTTCTGATCTGAATCATTTCTATTTCTTTTTCAGCTCTTCAATCCAATTTTTCTGGTAAAATTTCATGTCGGGTTGTGTTATTTCATCAGATTTTCGGTGTTTGTGTTATAAATCAGTAGGGTAAGAATTATTTGGGGCTAAAATTATTGGGTATTTTGTAATTTGAGTCTTTTGGGTGGAAAGGGGTTTTAGGGATTTTGATGAATTTGAAAATTTAAGGGTTTGTAATTCATAGGGTGACATGGGATTTGGTAGTGATGTAGCTAAAGTGGAAACTTGGGATGTCGAAAAATCAAAAGGAGGAAAAAAGAAGAAAGATGAAGATGATTCTGGTGAAGATACTGGTTGTTGGATTAAGCTCAGATTCATAGGAAGCTGCATTACTTCAAGATCCAAAGTTGATTCTTCTGTCAGTGGAACAAGTACTAACTACGGTAACTTCCCAATTTTTGCCAAATTTGTAAATATATTTTTTATTTATATGATACTTTATGTTGTTTGTTTGTTCCTATTTTTGAAGTATTTTGTAATTTAAGTTGTCACTATACCTTTGTTTTTATCATGTTTCTAGGTTGTTCATTAAATTGTTGAAGGTTCATATGTGTTTTTAGTGGTAGGGCAAGCATTAAGCTTTGTTTAATTTTGAAATTAGCTTGAAAGGCTATCTTGTCTAGAAATTTAGTCAATTAATTAATTCCTTGGGCTTTTTCGAGTTTATTTTCAGTCAATTGTTGCTTGCTTCTAGGTTGAGCTTGGGCTGATACCTTGCTTATGAAAGCTTTAAAATGTAGTTATGGGTGTAAGCTATCGATTAGTTTTATTTCTTTATTTATCTCATGTATATTGTGTATAGTGTCTTAAGAGTCTTGAAAGTTGAATTCCGCCTATGAAATTAGTGGATTATACCCATGAGCAATATTTTTTTAGAAATTGTTATGTGCTATCAACTTGTGGAACTCACATTGACATCATAGGCGTGTGTCTAAAGCTTGTGTAGCATCTGTTCAAAAGTGATTGTACATTTGTACCTTGTTTATAAAGTGCACTTCCATCAATGCAAGTAGCATGTTCTGCGAAGGTCGTCGTAGTATTGATGATTAGTAGGAAGAAACTGATCAAAATCTCTGATTTGTTTCAAGATCCAATGAGTAGGGGACTTGACCCATTCATTAAGTAGTAAAGGATTTATCTATATGGTGAATTTGTGAAGGCTGTGACTCTGTGAGTATGCCTCTTATGAAGTTGATTTTTTCATGAAAAAGGAAATTTATTATTTCAATGTCTTTTATTATATTAAAAAATTTGTTGAAGAATAGTGGTTGGAGGTTTATTTTCTGAAGTGTCTTGTCTTCCAAGAAACTTGGTGTAGTATTTCTATGGCTTGTTAGTTCATATGGTCAGAGAATTTGCTATCCAATACCCAAGAAACATTGAACTGCAAAATTCGTGGTGAGGCTGTGGCGCTGTGCATATGCATCCTGTCTTGACCCCTGTACGTTGAATTGTAAAGTCAGCTGATTTCAAATTGTTGACTGAGATCCTTAAACATAGCAAGTACTATTGTTGGTCATCGTTCAAATTCTCTCTTCCAGCTGCTGGACTTTACTTGCCTCCATCTTCTACATGATAGAGAAAAATGTGATTCTTGTTCGTGTTATGTTGGCAAGAAGTTTTTTACCCTCTCCATCATTAGCAGAATTGCAAGTTATATGATGTAATGCTGCAATTAATAGCCACTGAGCACTTTGAACTTGTTTGGCAATCTCTTTCTTGTACATGGCTGGTTGTTATTTTGTCCTTATTGCTTCTAACCTTGTTAGGATTTTTATCCTATAACTTAAGGGTTCTAATTATTCACATCCACTTATTTTTTTTGTAGAAGGCCACTCCATGTGCCCTGTCATTTTTTTGTAAACGCATGAATACAGATTTTAATATCTTAGCATTATAGGCGAATGGTCTTTAAATGCAAGAGAATTAATTTTAATTACATTAGAAAGCAAATTTGTAGTCTCCTGGCTGTTGAATTAGACTTTTAGTCTCTGTCCACTGACTTGACACAAGTTTCCCATAATTTTATTGAACATAGAGAGTGCCATATATTTTAGTGAACTGAAAGAAAAAGTAAGAGACCTCATAATAAATGATTAATTGTATATTCCTTTTTTTTTTTTTTACTTTTTTTTTAATCCTTTCTTGAAATTGTCTGGACTAAACTTTTGGTGACTCTAGAGTACTGTTCTCGATCTTTGAGCCTGCTATGATTATGTGGATTTTCCTAGTAGGCATGACCAACTGACCAAGAGATGTCAAACTTCCTCACTTAATCAGTTGGCACATTTTGTGACTAGATATCTTGTTTTTGGGATGGAGTGATTCTAATTTTCTGAGATATAAGATTGGCAGCTCATTTCTAGGAGGATGTTCTTTTACGTATTTTTTAGCGTCATTATGGGCTCATGGTTCCGGACCTCTTTCTTGGCATAGTTCTGAACCTCTTTCTTGGCATAGTTCTGAACTTCTGATAGAATACTTCATGATTATGATGTCAATGGTGGGCTTATGCTTCAGGACTCTGCCTTGGTTTAGTCTTAGTAGACATACAACATGATCAGTGTACTGATTTTACCACTAAGTATTCGATGTCTGAGCCTCTGAGGTCTTCTGACAGTTTGTATACCCTCCTCATCTAAATATCTAATTAATAAAGTTTTCATCTTCCCATGAGAAAATGAGAATAAAAATTAAAGATTTTGTACTGAATGTGTGTCAGCTGAAAGCAAATCAACAATTGATGCAAGCAGAGATCAACCGGTTACTGCAGTTGTCTCATCAACAACAACAAGTAATGCTGAAAGCAGCACATCAACATCCAAGCTAGAAGAAGAACTCAAAGTTTCCTCCCGACTTCGTAAATTCGCATTTAACGATTTAAAATTAGCAACTAGAAACTTCAGACCTGAAAGTCTACTTGGTGAAGGTGGCTTTGGGTGCGTGTTTAAGGGATGGATTGAAGAAAATGGTACTGCTCCAGTGAAACCTGGTACAGGTCTTACTGTTGCAGTAAAGACACTCAATCATGATGGACTTCAGGGTCACAAAGAATGGCTGGTTTGTTTTGCTGACTAATATTTGTAAAATATTATTTCTGCCTTATATCTTCACATGTATCTTGAGCTGTATTATCCCTTATATTTGTATGTGCCTTTATATTTGGCAGGCTGAAGTGAATTATTTGGGTGATCTTATTCATCAAAATTTGGTCAAACTAATTGGCTATTGTATTGAAGATGATCAAAGGCTTCTAGTCTATGAATTCATGCCCCGAGGAAGCTTGGAGAATCATCTTTTTCGAAGTATGTAACTACTTTTATGCAATTCCTCACATTCTTCTTGATCTATATATTTTTGAATTGATATGAAAATTAGACAATTATTACTCTGAAAGATGCATAGACATAGGATGAGTGAAATTTTAAAATTTTTAGAGGCATGAACTGTCTCATTTTTATTTTTACTTGTTGGCTGCCAATAAATTTTTTTTAAGTTTCTGAGTGCACATGTTTCAGTACTTTTCTGGTATTAAGTATCCTGTATTTGATGATGAGTATATTACTTAGGGGCCATATGGTTCACATGGGGTAAACGGAATGGAATCAAGAAGGGGTAAGACAGAGAATGGAAAGAAAAATCCTTTGATGTAAATTGTTGTTTGGGTAATATTTGGTGATCACGTTTCTCTCTATCACCATTGCATCACCACTATACCACACGTTCATATATCGATGTCGCCCTTCCCAGCCATTGCCCCACCATTGCCGCCATTTCTTGCCCCTCCCCAACGCTGTCGCAGCCCCCTTCTCCTTGCCACCATGGCAGCCCCTTCTCTCTCCTCTTCTTATTGTTTCATCACCACCATTGAAACTCAAATTCAAGGTTTTAATGGTCAAATTTGAATATGAAAACCCTAGATCTAGTGTTTTCATAGTCAAATTTAACCTTTATAATTGAAGATAATAAAAGATAATTTCTTATTTTAGCCTTTTTTTTTTTCCAAATTTTCTAGCATTATAGGCTTTTTAATGGTTGTTTTTCTGTGGAAGGGGGTTGGATTTTCATGGTGGTGGATTTTTACGGGAGGGTGGGGGTGGTGTCGTGCGGGTGGAGCGTGGTTTTGAAGAAGTGGTGGTTGGTTTTGGGTGTTTGATAGGGGTGGTCATGAGGTGGTATTCAATAAATGGTTTTGGTGATTTGCTATGGGTGGTGGTGCAAGAGGTGGTTATGAAGGTAGGGGTGGTGGTGATGGTGATGGTGATGGTGATGATGGTGACTTTAGCAGTGGTGGTTGTTGCTGGTGGGTACTATTGTGTGGTGTTGTATGGGTGGCTTAGGAAAGGGAATGAAGATACCATAAGGGGGTGGGGAATTATGGTAGAGGAAAATGGGGGAAACAAGAGGAGAGAGGGAATGAAAAAAATGACCTAATAAACAACAAGTAAGGGAATCAAGCTAGTTCATTCCCTTACCCTTTCTTGAAGACCCCAGACCAAACAGCCCCTTATAGTAGTGGGGATCTGGGGAACTTAATATATACTCTTGTTATGGATTTTTCTGTTTGTTGTTGATCTTATAGTATAGTTAGGCTCACCACTTCTTGGGCTGGAGGAATTGTCTGTCTCCTTGCTCCATTGCCTACAGACATTATAGTCTATGTAAATAATGAGTGCCCAACCATAATTAGCTTGCTTGGAATAAGAATTATGTCAATAATGGGTGCCCCGTGTAGATGACACTAACTCATTCAAGTCTAACTATGGTGCTCTCTACAACATCTCTTTTTCCATACAAAAGAAACTAAGGAATTTTGCTTATATTGGACTGACAATGAGAGCCAACCTATTATAAAATTTCCTGCATTCTTGTCATTCTGTTCTCTCTTTCTAGTTGATGTTGACAATGGAAGAGTCATCTGGAATGTGACTAGTTTCTGCAATAATAGATGGATTTTGGATTGCTGTTGTTTCTTAAGTTTAGGCCTTAATCACTGTTTCTCTGGGTGGCCTCTCAAGGCTTCAAGGGTCATACTTGATTTGTCTGGCTAGTTAAAGACCTGATGGCTCACAATCAGACTTGAGTTGTCAGTTTGCATACTCTTCTCAGTATGTTACTGTTTTTCATAGACTAACTGTAATACAAGGTGCATAAGTCATGCATCTTTTTTTCATGTTACTTCTCGTCTTCCTTGGACCCTTTACATGAATTGAGCCGTTGATTATTTGGTTGACTAGGTAATATGCAATAGATCATGCAGTGTGTTATGGTGTCGGGAAAGGTCAATTGATTTCCAGGAACTCAAGTAGTAATAGTTTTTTTTTTGTGACAGGTTAAAGGCTTCCCTATTGATTTGTTTGGATGTTGTATTTTGAGTGCTCGAATTATCATATGATCTATGCTGGATGTGACTTTACAAAGCAAGTAAAAGGCTTCCAGTTGACATTACAGGCTTACACTTTTGACTCCAATTGAGATCATCATTATTTTCTATTTTTAACATTTTTTTAATCATTCTAAGCTGTGGCATGTAATAACTGTTATTGATTGTTATTCGTGTGGTTCAAGCTTTAGATATCTAAAATCTTTCTTTTTAGGGTATGGAGAGGGGGGGGGGGTCCAATTATCCTGTCATGTCCTCAGTTTGTCTACGATTGAAATGGTTACAAGGGATCAAGATGAGAAGCAATTAAACTCACTTTTCTTTCCATTGGCCAGGGTCATTATTAACCTTGCAGTCTCAGTCTCAGTCTCAATACATTAATTTTTTTATGGGAAATCTTGAATTTCCATGGAAGGAATCACTAATTATGATCATGGGTCTATAGTAGATATGGATTATACCTGTCCTAGGCTGGTTATGCCGTCTTATTCCTGTAATAATATACTTATTATTCCTTATGGGAAACCAGACGAGTGCTTTCTTCTTCAAAAATCACAAGGAAGAGTTGTGGATAGTTTAATTAGTCATTTTGATTTTCTCGATCATATTCAAATCTAGGAACAGGGATTCTTTCAGCTTCGTTGTCATAATTTTCAATATTGTACATTAATAAAGTCATTATGGGACTTTCAGGAAGTCTTAAGGTCATTTTGGGTTTCTTCTATGGATCATTGGGCATGATTATGGGATGTAAATAAGACAGAAGGATATGTTTGGAATATAGGAAATCATTCAGTGGGGAACATCCACTAGAACAGTCTACCTGCTGATGTATTCTGGTTTTCCTTGAACTACAATGATCTAACTATATCATTAATTAAGTTCGTAGGAATGGTATTAGTTTTAGTTGGAATTTTGGGTTATCATCGCCTTATTTAATACGAAGTAATTTCTGTTTTCCAATATTGAAGATAGCAAGTGAAGATAGCAGTGTGGTGTTCTATCTATATTGGGAAGATTATGTTAGGTTAGTTGACCTAGTTCAGCTTCTGTTTATTTATGAAGGCATACTAGTAATAGCTTCTGTTTAGCACTTCTAGGCGGTACTGGTGTAATCTGCTGTTGCCAAAACTCAATTCATCCCGTGTAGTTTTGATTTCAAGTTACCTGCTTTGATGATCTCACAAAGCCTTGCCCTTCATGTTGATGTTATTGTTATTTGATGTCAGGTTCCTCTATTGTTAATCTTACTAATCAGCATAAAATATATTGGGAAAGAAACTCATCTGGAATTCAATTTGACAAAAATAATTTCCTTGATAGTAGTCATGAACGCAAGGCACCTATACCATTGACCTGAATATGGAAGAAGCACATGAAATGCTCACAATTCTTTGAGAAATCTTGACTCGAACATATCTTTCTAATCGGCAATGTGCAGAGTGAGGAAACCCACCAGGGAAATAAACAATTCCTCAGTAAGAGTTGGTCTTTGTGTTGCTAGTTGGCTAAATTTATTCCAAAGCTATCTGATAGCTGCAAGTGCACCTTACAGTTGCAATTCATTCAGTTTTTTGCTAATATTGTGGCTGAACCCCCCTTTGTTCTTCTCTTTTTCCAGGCTTCCAGTTTTCTTCATTGTATTTTGAAATTTCCTATACTTGTAACTATACTTGATACATTGAAGCATGTACAGGCAGTACAGCACTGTCTTTCAGCGGTGTCAAGAAATTATCTGAGTACAATAAATAAGTTTTTTTTTTTAATTTTTTTTTCTATGATTTCCTTAGGCTATAAAGGTTTCTAATTAGGTGTCATTTACCTCTAAAAAGTTTTAGGATATTGATGATCATCTATCACAATGATAATGGATGTGCTTCCTCTCATCTCCTTGAGAAATGTAGTTATTGGTGTGATTCAATTTACACGTGGTTCATGTAATCATGTATGTTGTTGAAATTTGAAACTGAAGTTCCTTAGCTGAGATTTGTTAAAAGTAACTTATTTAGAAGTTCCTATATGCTTTGTCAAAGTTATGATGCCTAGAACCAAGAGAATAAAAGAAAAAAAATTAAAAAATTAGTGATGTTGGTGAACGTGGTGCCAATTTTAAATTTGAAGAATGGCTTGCGCTGGAATGGAGTAAGACATTATTAGAGACAAAAGGAAATTGCAAATATTTTTACAGTCAATGGGATCATGTGTTGATATGGATGATGTAATGCCAAAGATTAATGATACGACCATGTTATTAATTATGCAAAGGATAATTCTCATGGTACTTATGCAAGATTACGAGGATAATTCTCATGTTGAAATGCCATTTACAGTATTGGCCTTTTATGTCTTCTTCAGTTACTATTTATACGTTCAATACACTTGAGGAGTGTAATAAAAAGGAGTTATCATAGATTGCATCGTTTTCCTCATTTTTAATCTTGGTTTGTATGATGCCATTGCAGTTTGAGTCTTATCTTTAGAAGTTTAAACTATGTTTTAGATCGAGTTTTGAAATATTTTACTGATAATTGTATTAACCTAGAATACAAGTTTGATTTGCAGAGTAAAATATTATTCTGATTCCTGTAACTATAGTTGACCTTCGTAACATAATAAACCGTTTCTTTAAATTCATGTTGTTTGTTCTCACCTCTCTTTGTGGAGCCTGTCTTCTCTCCACAGTGTCACTCCTTTTCATTGTTGCTGACTTTGTGATGTTTTTTCAGGATCTTTACCTCTCCCATGGTCCATTAGGATGAAAATTGCTCTTGGTGCAGCTAAGGGTCTTGCCTTTCTCCATGAAGAAGCTGAAAAGCCTGTGATATATCGTGATTTCAAGACCTCAAATATTTTATTAGATGCGGTACGTTATCACACTCAACAGTTTTGCAATAATTACATGGAAGCTTCTATGTTTCTCTAACTACTACCAACTTACTGCATCAGGAATACAATGCAAAGCTGTCGGATTTTGGACTTGCAAAAGATGGTCCTGAGGAAGGTAAAACTCATGTATCTACCCGCGTGATGGGGACATATGGTTATGCAGCCCCTGAGTATGTGATGACAGGTAAATATTCGAATGCTGGGTGTTTCTTTGTCATCCATGAAGATTCTTATGGCATTATGCTATTTTTGTATTGTCTAATTATGAAATATTTATTGTTGCACTGGTTCATGTTGGATTTGCATCTCTTTCAAACCTTCTTGCTCTCATCTGCTGTAAATGCTAAGCATTATCTAAGGAGGGGCACATTAGGAAGTAGCATGAAGTCAGTTAATAGTGGCTTTAATGAAAAGATAGCTAGTTGGTGAAAAGAATTCAAGAAGAGGATTAGGGAGAGAGACAGGATGTTGAATATCGATATCTGTTTCGTTGGCTTTTAAATTGGTAGTTAAGAGAGAACCAAGCCTCTCGAAAGCTTGAATATCCTCCCCCCCCCCGGTAATTTTAGGTCATCAGTCAACCATCTTCTTTCCAATTCTTTTAGGGTTTCTGTTTTTTTTTTTATTTTATTTTATTTTATTTTATTTTTTTATTTTTATTTTTAATATGGTGCGTCTGGTTTCATATGAATTTTCCATGGCACTTCTGCTGCTGTGAGTGGAACATCATCATTTTTCATAATTGATAAAAGTTAATAGTCTCATGTAGTAGGATATTCAGTTTACATCAGCTTGTGCTTTTATTAGAATTTGGGATATTGGTTTGTATTATTTATACTCTTCTTTTTTGGCCTCCCATTTGTTACTTTATTCTCTTGCCTGGGGAGAGGGGAGGAATTGTTTATTTCCCTGGTGGGTTTCCTCACCTTCCTAGTCTGCTAAGAGGGAAAACTGTATGCACCAGTTTCTTTTCAGATATATGGCTAATGCTCCCTCTCCTTTTCCCTTAGTTATTTCTACTACTATTAGCTGCATTTTTTCATCAAGAGGTTTTTTCTTATTCAAGTTGCTGTATGCTGTTTGACATGAATGTGCGGATGATTGTACAGCAATTGGAATTTTATTAGTCAACAGAAGATTATTCTTGAAGTAGTTGATGGCATTGGATTCAATATTGAGCATGTTCTGCTGTGTCCTAATCTAATTTTTATTATTCCTGTCCCAGGCCATCTGACTTCAAGAAGCGATGTTTACAGCTTTGGAGTAGTGCTGCTGGAAATGATTACTGGCAGGAGATCTATGGACAAAAACCGACCCAATGGGGAGCATAACCTTGTTGAATGGGCAAGGCCACATCTTGGAGACCGAAGAAGATTTTATCGTCTGATAGATCCTCGGCTTGAAGGTCACTTTTCCATTAAAGGTGCTCAAAAGGCTGTGCAGTTGGCTGCTCATTGCCTTAGCCGGGATCCAAAAGTCCGCCCTTTAATGAGTGAAGTTGTAGATGCCCTGAAGCCTTTACCTAACCTGAAAGATATGGCTAGCTCGTCCTACTATTTCCAAACCATGCAAGCAGACCGAGTTAGGGCCAGCCCAAATGCTCGTAATGGTCAACCTATAGGTCCCCACCAAAGGAACGGGCAGCAACCAGGTCTAAGGAGCCTCTCAATCCCACATGGCTCACACGCTTCACCATATCATCATCATCAATACCATCCATCACCTAAACCAAGTGGGAAATCCTAACCTCAGTTCAGTCGGTCCTCTTCTTGCTCTGCAAGCAGTCCATCATTCTTTTCTCCCCAGCTTCTGATCGTTTTCATGAAGTCATCAGCTAATTAAGTATGTGATCCTGATATCAAGGTTCTCTGCTCCTTGATCAAAAATGAAACACAACAGGGAGGAAACCCCCCCCCCCCCCCCAAAAAAAAAAAAAAAAGAAAAGAACAGAAAAAGAGGCAACAGAAGACAATGTATGAATTGTGCAAACTATTATCTTTCAGTCAGGCTCTCTGTAAAGGAGTTAAATGTAAGAAGAGGTGAAGCTTTGTGGGCCAGAAATTTCATGTCAAACCTCGCAATGTTACGTTAGTCAAGCTTGAAAATATGAAAAATGAAGTTTCTGCAATTGTTGCCTCAGATTATCCCCATTTTGTTATATGCTTTTCCATCTTCAAAGATCCCCAAAATTGCTGTATAGATCATGCTTGGATGTAGAAACAATGAATCAATGAATTAGGTCAAACTTGTGTTGTGGGCTCAGAGCCTCAGAATCCTGTTCTGTGGGTTGATCCGGAGTTTTAAACCAGTTTGCTTACTATTGTCATTGCTGAAATATAGATGTGCTTTGAGTTTTAAACGTTTAATTTAGGGTCTGCTCGGGAGTATTGTGGTTTTGATGGTTTCCAAGCTACTGCGGTGAAATAAACTTCTTCCGTTTTTTTGAAACTACAACAGAAGCAAAAATAACTTTTTGAGGTTGTGTAGTTTTAATTTAAATGAAACGCTTTGGCTTTATATGACAAGCAACTTCTTTGCCTCAAAAAAAATAAAATAAATAAAAAGCAACTTCTTATCAGTCATATTCTTTTTCTTCTCTTCGTTCTCCATCCTTGGTAACACCATCTTTTTCATTTCTACTGATGCTCTACATAGCAGATTTGAATTGCTTTACAGTTGTCACTATCTTCATTTTCTTAATATATCGCATAAAAATACAAACATAGAGGGAAGAAGGGAGTAACTATTAATCATTATTTAATGATTAAATATCAATAAAATCAGTAATTAGCATTGACTTTGATTGATTAGTATTTAATACTTGGCATATTGATAATACTTATGGTTTACTTCAATTGGTTATAGTTTAAAATGTAGATTTTTAATACTCTCCATTGAATTCTTTTTAAATTGATACATTTATTTTATTTACCAATAGGTAAATATTATGAAAAGTTGATAATGTGAAAATATACATCAAGACAATTCTAAATTTCTAACAAGTCTCAACATGAGTACATAACTATACTTTATCATAATTATTAGTCACTAAAGTACTCAAGGTAAAGCTCCCCCTTGATATATTTGTTGTCTTGTAACAACTGCCATTCTGAGTTTGGAGCTTTCAACGCCCGTGATAGTATTGAAAGTTTTAAAATGTTCAGAGGAGCTCCTATTTGGTTTTAGTAATTGGATTAGAAATGTCTTATACCATGACATTATTCAAATATCACTCCCTATCGGCCCTATGTACATACAAAGTAATCAAAGTCACATTTCTAAACAGCCTTTCGAGTCAGTTGCTCCATGGATGTGCTCTCAAATATCTTATCAGCATTACCAACTTCAAACCCATCACGTCGATGGAACTCCTTGACCTACAATAATTCATTCAAAAGTTAAGCAAAGCTATTCAATCCTGCATCACTATGAACATACACTATATTAGTAAATAAACTCCATATGTTTTGAAACTTAAAAGAGGGGCTATCGATACCTCTTCATCAGGTAAATTTTTGTACTGAGGAAGCACAAGCCTTTCAGCAAACTCTATGTATGAACATGGAACTGATTCTTTCGTACCATCAGAGAATTCGAAAGGTACTGAATCAGCTACTGTTGAACTTTGCAGCAGGAAACCATCAGGACTAACTGGTGCAGGAACAACGATATTTCTCAGATTTGCATTGTTGAAAAAGTGGTGATCAAATATAAAAAATTCATAGAAGAATTTTTGCAATTAGCCTTAACTAAAACACGAAAAATGGACACTGCTAACACTCAGAGTGACACCTTCCCCTCCCATCACTTAAGTGACAAAGTTCATCACCTTGTAACTGTTGTTACATCAACCCCTTAATAAAACATAAGTTACATTTGAGTTGGGGTTATATTTAGGGAACATTAGCTTAAATACTGTAGATTCGCTACATAAAAGTTTACATCTTCAACTTGTTGGGCTATGGGTCCCTTCCTATGTGGAGAAAGCCCATTTGATGTTGTGTTAGTTTTAGGGCAAGTAGTGTAGTTAAGGTCCATATGTGAAGTCTTCTAAGAGAAGCTTCCTTTCTTGACTTTGTGGGTGTCTTACGGTAGAAGCCTTTGGGACAACAAAGTCTTTGGGGACTTAATCACTTGCTGCCAGCATAAGGAGTAAATGAGGGAAGCAAATTAGATGAGAGTGTGAGAAAAATACAGAGAGTTCACAAGAGTAGCCTAGCTCACGGTTTTCACTGCGCAGCCTCATAAATCAGCCCCGATCGAAGCTCATCCGTGGTCCGATTTAGCTCAAATTTTGACAGCTTGTCCGGGACATCTAGGGATTCATTTTTAACGGTTGGATTGTCATTTTCTGCTCTGGTTCGTGAGATACGGCCTCAGGACAGAAGCTCCGTTTTCTGGTTTATCTCTCAATTTCTTCCTCAATTGTTTTGTTCTTATGATTGTTGTTGTTGGGCAATTGAGTACCCATCTTTTAGACTTGGAATTGTGTTTTTGTAACATTCCTTTGATCATAATAAGAACATTTTGGGTGGACTCCTAAAGTCCCGTGGTTTTTACTCTTCACATCGAAGAGGTTTTCCACGTAAAAATCGTATGTCTCTTGCTTGGTTGTTTATGCTCGTTCTTTGCTTAAGTTGCTGCATTATATGTGTTGATATTGCTAGTGGTTTGTTGATCTTGGAGATAATTCATATAGCTTGGGCTAAGTGTGACCTTTGAACAAACTAGTAGCTTGTGTGTGCTTGTGGTTTGTTGTTTGGTCGATTGATTATTCCGCAAGAGGTGTGTTTATCCTTAACAATATGGTATCAGAGCCACGGTTTTATTATTGAGTTCTCGGGATGGAATCCGGTAATATTAACACTAGTAGAATGGTTAGTTTGAATGGAACTAACTATCATCTTTGGAAGAGAAAGATGAGAGATTTGTTGTATGTCAAGAGTTGGCATTTACCTGTGTTTAGTACTGAAAAACTAGAAGGTAAAAGTGATGAGCAATGGCAATTTGAACATGAGCAAGTTTGTGGGTTCATTAGCCAATGGGTTGATGATAATGTGTTTAATCACATAAATGATGATGTGCATGCAAAGTCCCTTTGGGAGAAGCTTGAATCCTTGTATGCTAGTAAATCTGGTAACAATAAACTGCACTTGATTAAGCAATTGATGGGCTTGAAGTACAGAGAAAGCAAGACACTTTCAGATCACTTGAATGATTTTCATGGCATTCTCTAACAGTTGTCAACCATGGGAATCAAGTTTGATGATGAGATTCATGGACTTATATTGCTTGGTACTCTTTCAAGAGACACCCTTCTTCCAAAAAGTCAGGTTTGCTTGACCTTGTTCATTCTGATGTTTGTGGTCCTTTCAAGGTGAAAAGTTTTAGTGGTGCACTTTACTTTGTTATCTTTATTGATGATTGTTCAAGTAAGCCGTGAGTTTATGCTTTGAAAACCAAAGATCAGGTGCTTGATACTTTTAAGCAATTTCAAGCTTTGGTTGAAAGGCAAACAGGTAGAAAATTGAAGTGCCTCCGTAATGACAATGGTGGTGAATACATTGGACCACTTGCAAGTCATAGGGGATACGACATCAGTTCACACCAAAGAAGACTCCACAACTGAATGGCGTAGCAGAGAGAATGAACAAAACTTTGTTAGAGAGGATACGGTGCATGCTTTCAGAGGCAAAGTTACCGAGACGTTTTTGGGGTAAAGCTTTGTTTACAGCTACACATGTGATTAATCTGTCTCCTTGTGTTCCTTTAGATGGTGATGTTCTGGATAAGATTTGGCTAGGCAAGGAGGTTTCTTATAATCATTTGCGTGTCTTCGGGTGTAAGGCATTTGTGCATGTTCCGAATGATGAAAGATCGAAACTGGATTCAAAGACTCGCCAGTGCATCTTTGTGGGCTATGGGTTGGACCGGTTTGGGTACAGGTTTTATGATCCTGTAGAGAAGAAATTGATTCGAAGCAGGGATGTAGTGTTTGTCGAGGATCAGACAATTGAAAACATCCAAAAGGCTGAAGAATCTACATCTCACAGTATCGATGATTTGGTTGATTTGGATCTACCTCCTTTGACTCCTGCACCAACTCCAGCTGAAGAGGTGCAAGAAAATGATAATGGGGATGATGTTCCTGAGGTAGATGATGATGTTGATAATGATGATGGTGATGCAATTGAGCTTGATGACCAGGGGGAAGAGCAACCAACCAGATCTTGTGAGATGGTCTACTCGAGACCGACGCCCTTCCACGAGGTATCCTTCTTCTGATTATGTTCTCTGTTCTACGAGGAAGCCATGGATAGTGATGACAAGCAACATTGGTTAGATGCAATGAAAGATGAAATGAAATCATTGCATGATAACCATACTTTTGATCTTGTGAAGTTACCGAAGGGTAAGAGAGCTTTGAGGAATCGTTGGGTTTATAAGCAGAAACAAGATGAGAATGCTAAGAAACCACGATACAAAGCAAGACTTGTTGTCAAAGGTTGCAACCAGAAGAAGGGAATAGACTTTGAAGAGATTTTTGCACCGGTTGTCAAGATGTCCTCCATTAGAGTTGTTTCGGGTCTTGCTGCTAGCTTGAATTTGGAGATTGAGCAGTTGGATGTGAAGACCGCGTTTCTTCATGGTGACCTTGAGGAAGACATATACATGGAACAACTTGAGGGTTTCAAAGTCAAGGGGAAGGAAGAGTATGTGTGCAAATTGAAGAAGAGCTTGTATGGCCTAAAACAAGCTCCAAGGCAATGGTATTGCAAGTTTGACTCCTTTATGGGGGAGCAAGGCTACAAGAAGACTTCTTGTGATCATTGTGTCTTCTTGAAGAAATTTTCTAACAATGATTTTATCATTTTGCTACTTTATGTTGATGACATGCTTATTGTAGGGCAAAATGTGGATAGGATTGTCAGTTTGAAGCAACAGTTGAGTAAGACTTTCTCTATGAAGGAACTGGGCCAGCAAAGAATATTTTAGGCATGAGGATCATTCGTGATCGCAAGGATCGAAGGTTGTGGTTATCACAGGAAGCATATAATCATATGGTGCTTCAGAGGTTCAACATGGAGAAAGCAAAACCAGTGAGTACTCCTCTTGCTCTGCATTTTAAGTTAAGTTCTCAACAGTGTCCTTCTACGGAAGAGAAGGAAAGTATGATGCATATTCCATATGCTTCAGCAGTGGGTAGCTTGATGTATGCAATGGTTTGCACTAGGCCCGATTTAGTTCATGCAGTTGGTTTGGTTAGTCGTTTTCTCTCTAATCCGGGAAAGGAGCATTGGAATGCTGTGAAATGGATTATGAGATATCTACGAGGTACTGCATATATGAAGCTATGTTTTGGGAGTGATAAGCCTGTTCTTGTTGGCTACTCAGATTCGGATATGGCTGGTGATATCGACTCGAGGAAGTCTACTTCGGGTTATTTGATCACTTTTGCAGGAGGAACAGTTTCTTGGCAATCTAGATTACAGAAGTGTGTGGCATTGTCCACAACTGAGTCAGAGTTCATTGCAGCGACAGAGGCATGTAAGGAGTTGCTATGGATGAAGCGGTTTGTTCTTCAACTTGGATTTACACAAAAGAGATATGTGTTGTATTGTGACAGTCAGAGTGCTATTCATCTTGCTAAGAATTCTACATTTCATGCAAAGTCGAAACACATTGATGTGAGGTATCATTGGATACGGGATGTTCTTGATGCTAAGTTCCTTGAGCTTGAGAAAATCCACACCGATGATAATGGCTCCGACATGATGACTAAGGCATTGCCAAGGGGCAAGTTTGAGACTTGTTGTTCGATTGCCGGAATGGCAACCATCTCCACATAGTCGGGAGGGGGAGAGTTTTTGGGCTATGGGTCCCTTCCTATGTGGAGAAAGCCCATTTGATGTTGTGTTAGTTTTAGGGCAAGTAGTGTAGTTAAGGTCCATATGTGAAGTCTTCTAAGAGAAGCTTCCTTTCTTGACTTTGTGGGTGTCTTACGGTAGAAGCCTTTGGGACAACAAAGTCTTTGGGGACTTAATCACTTGCTGCCAGCATAAGGAGTAAATGAGGGAAGCAAATTAGTTGAGAGTGTGAGAAAAATACAGAGAGTTCACAAGAGTAGCCTAGCTCACGGTTTTCACTGCGCAGCCTCAGAAATCAGCCCCGATCGAAGCTCATCCGTGGTCCGATTTAGCTCAAATTTTGACAGCTTGTCCGGGACATCTAGGGCTTCATTTTTAACGGTTGGATTGTCATTTGCTGCTCTGTTTCGTGAGATACGGCCTCAGGACAGAAGCTCTGTTTTCTGGTTTATCTCTCAATTTCTTCCTCAATTGTTTTGTTCTTATGATTGTTGTTGTTGGGCAATTGAGTACCCATCTTTTAGACTTGGAATTGTGTTTTTGTAACATTCCTTTGATCATAATAAGAACATTTTGGGTGGACTCCTAAAGTCCCGTGGTTTTTACTCTTCACATCGAAGAGGTTTTCCACGTAAAAATCGTATGTCTCTTGCTTGGTTGTTTATGCTCGTTCTTTGCTTAAGTTGCTGCATTATATGTGTTGATATTGCTAGTGGTTTGTTGATCTTGGAGATAATTCATATAGCTTGGGCTAAGTGTGACCTTTGAACAAACTAGTAGCTTGTGTGTGCTTGTGGTTTGTTGTTTGGTCGATTGATTATTCCGCAAGAGGTGTGTTTATCCTTAACACAACTTAGATTGTCTTCCTTTGAATGTGCCCACTATTCATGAACATAGGTGTATAATAATATCACCTCCCTGGGTTGTGTGTAGTACCTGAAATCAACTTTTTGCAGGACAAAGTTCCAAAATTCAACAAACGGAGAATGTCCTCTCAGATAGAAATAGCCTTTTATCTTACACTGCCTCTTTGAGTACAGCATATGCTGCGGTTTGAGGCTATAATATATCTAGTAAGCACAAAGGAACATAAATGACCCTTCAAAATTTCTCCGGTGCTCTACTAAGTTAGAGTTCGACCAAGTGACCAACAATCTTAACATAAATTATGATAAACCAAATAGAATGCTGATACTATGCAATCACAAGCTCCAAACCAAACAATGCATTTTTACTCTCATTCTTTATTAAACACGGGGAGAGAGAGAGAGGGGGGGGGGGGTTGGGGAGGGGGTTTGTAAAGCAGGGGCCTGATTTGAGATGTATTAATAAAAAATCGTATAACGTGTGAATGTACCGGAGTTTCAGGTAAATTAAGAAGAAAAAAAAAAAAACCTTTCAAAGTCCCTCCTTCAGAATTCAGCTTGAATCCATTCTCTTCAATGAACTGATTCAGGCGATTGATGTTGTTCAAATTTGACTTCAGTTGGTGAGTGGAAATAGTGACATGATTCAAGGCATATCCATTAACTAGTGTCCATGCAGCATATTCGCTTTCTCTGTAATTTTAAAATTACAGCACATGAATTTCAGAGAGAATACAAGTCACAGAATGTGCTTCAAGACACATACTACTTGAAGACAATATGGATGTTCAAAAAGGGTTATATAGCAGTTGGAAACTTGACACTCAGCAGCGATACACAGGGATGGTCTTAGGATAAAATCCACTTGTAGATCAATTCAGTTTCAATCAAGAAGATAGACTCAGAAAGTCAGAAGACATTTTACCTAGCTAATTGTTGAAATTCGGAATGCAAGGGTTTGTCCCAGGTCAATGACCCGTGTGCACTGGCAAGAGCTGCATATTTACTTCCACTTCCTGAAATCCCAGTGTACTTTCTGATTATTTCCTGTAATTGCAAATAGCAAACGTTAAAATAAAAGTCTCAACAAGGATATCTTCTGCTAAGGGAAATATATAACTGCTGGACGAGGTATACTTGTGATACTTCTACTCTATCTTCTATACAGAAACAAATTCTTTCATGTACCATACAGATTATGTTCTTCATTTTAAATATGAGCCTCACACTTAAACAATTGTGTCCAAAATACAGATAAACTAGTGTATTGACCACATCCTGTTAGTAGCTTATAACACTTCGGAGCTAAATTTCCATGGTGAGAATTCACAGTTATCCCACATCAAGCAAAGCTATAGTTTAGCTTGAAATTGTGCTAGACACACACCAAATGGAGAGTGTACCTGAGCTTCAGAACTCATCTGGTCTACAAGAAGTTCGGAAATAAACACCCTAGGCAAAGGTCCATTGACACCACTGCCTCCCTCATAGGAAACTGTGGGAGGGGAGAACCAATAAGCTTTCAACTTCTTTCCAGGAAATCTCAGCTCGTCCTTTTGGATGTACCCAAAATCAAGAAAGACCTTAGCCATTGAATCGATACCATGACCATCCACCTGCAATATTGGTATCAAAATGAGGTCCTTGCACAAATTTGGATTCTCATTTCGCTAGTCATATGTTATCAACCCAATATGCAATGTTACATGTTACTTAGTAGTTCTATAACATATAAATTACAAGTATGAAGAATAAGAGGGAGCCCAGGTTAATCTCTGAGATTAACAAGCCTTTCCCTATTGCTACAATTTAAGTGGTGAAAATAGCATACCCCAAAAGTACGAAAAGCAAAATGATCATAACAAATCCGATCATTTCCAGCTGAATGAACAAGCTCCAAGACCCGTTTTGCCGTTGGATTCCTGTTCAAATAGACAGTCTCCATACTTTGCAGCACATTTCTGAAAAATGATTCTGATCCCTTTACATATACAAACACCCAATATACCAAAGTTATATTTCCAAGCAAAAATTAATATCACGACTACTAAGATGATTTTAAGTGTTATTCAGCGACTATTAATCTATATCCTGTTTGTATATTTCATTAATCATAGGGAAAAAAAAATTAATAAAAATCATCAACACTATAAAATACTAACAGTAGTAGCTAAAACCCCCACTAACGAGAAATTACTGGTTGGTATCTTTGATTTACAAAACTCACAAATCACAACAGTCACAAATCAAGTGGCATTTGTATATTTAATCAATCCAGTCGAAATGATTGAATATCCGATCATCATGATTATATACTTGATTATACATAAGAAGTATTTTAATAACATATTTTTGTACAAGTATTACAGATTTTTAAAGAACATACCATCATCTTGATTTTTTGCATGTGAATCAAGGAGATTAATTTGATGGACCTCCTATGACAACCTTGAAATCAATCTTTACAAATACCATTTAAAATTATATCCTATAATCTTTTCCATTCAACTCCTTAAAAAAATTATAAAAAAATAAAAATAAAAAATCATCTTCTTAGGTTACTTCAATCTGTAAAAGCTTAAAAATCATGTCCAACAGTTCCTCGAATATTATCATATAAATACAAGAAAACCCCACATCAAAATGACAGATGTTTCCCAAATCGTTAGAATCAATTTTAAAAAAAAAAAAAAAAAAAAAAAAAAAAAGAAGAGAGAATTAAAAAAATGAAATAAAATAAATCCAGTTAATATTCAAATTTTAGAAAAAAATTACCTGAAAAGGAGAAACATGAGACCCAGTTTGTGAATTTGATGAAGAATCATTTTTTACAGAGAAATTTCGTTTGTTATTCAACATGGGTTGATATGAAGGAAGATTTGGTTTGAAAAAAATGGAGCTTTTGGAATCTGATTGAGGAAGAAACTTTGAAGTACGAACTGCAGTAGCAGAGGAGGAGATAGTGTGGAATCTGGTGATAGAAGAAGAAGAAATCATGGTGTTTGGAAATTTTGATGTTAATAAAAACTTATGCATCTCAATTAATTTAGTAATTAATTTTGTTATACTAATGTTGTACACTTGATGGATTTTTTTTTTTTTTTTTTTTTTTTCCCGAAAAAAAAAGGATTTTTTAATTTTTAATTTTTTACAAGACAGTTCATAGAATTTGGATATTGGATAGTTGGCTAGTTGCGTTACGTGTTGTAATTTCTAGACTAGATTTAGATAGATGACTTGTATAGTTGTATTGTATTTGTATCCGTTATCCATGTGTCAAAATTTTTAAAAATTATTTTTTTGGCATATTTTATGACTTTTTATGTTTTCGTTTGTAGAGCTTCTTTCACTTGGAGAAAGAACGAGAGAATAATACAAGAAATCGGGGCAGAGACAGGGAGGAGAGAAAAGCCCACACATAAGCCCAAATGAGATTTCATTCTAAAAACATATGACAATAAGAGGAAGTGTAAATCAAGGGTTGTGAGACAAATGAAAATGTCTCACAACTATTAAAATAACATGACGGGGCGTTTGGTAGGAGGGATGGGATTAAGTGGGACAAGAGAGAGAAAGGAGGAGAGAGATAGGAAGAGTGATAAAGGTGGTGTGCAAAAACGGACAAAAATTTTTGGAAACCACTACCACTGAGTTTATATTTTGTTCCACTAAAACTCCAGTGGAGCTTTTTGAAGTACCACTGAGACTCCAGTGATATTATTTGATAACTCAATAAGACAACTTTAAATTGACGCCTGAAATGCCTATATTACCCTTGTGAGATATGACTTTATTGTCTCTCAACCATCCGTTTATATAACCTCTGACAATAAAAGGAGTATCTCACTTAGGTTATAAACTAGTGGTTCTTTACTTTTTTTATTCAATTTTTCCATGTGGAACAACAACTCACACTTGCAACTTAACAATCTCCCCCTCATGTGTGTGTTCGGAATACTTCCCCTTGAGCAAAAACATGCACCCAAACCCTTATAGCACTCCCAATGAGAAGCTTGTATGGAGGAAACTGGGGTGTAGACAAGAACCTCTAAGTAGATCGCCAATAAACAGGTCTTGACCTCACAACTCTACACAACGTCTAAAAAACGCGTGCGAGAGGCCTAGCCGAACCATCAGCTTTGATATCACCGTTAGGAATCAGGGGAGAGACAAGGAGGAGAGAAAAGCCCACACATAAGCCCAAGTGAGGTTCCATTTTAAAATTATATGACAATAGAAGGAGTAGCTCACTTAGGTTATAAACTAATGGTTGTTTAATATAATTTTTTCATGTAGGACAACAACTCACACTTGCAACTTAACACTTTTATTAATATGTGTATTTTTTTTTTTTTTTTTTTTTTTTCATAAATATAGTTTATGACTTTTTCAGAATTAATTATATAAAGGGGATATTATAGGGTGAAGGAATTAAATAAAGGGGTAGGGTGAATTGGCAAATAAAGTGATTGAAAATTAAATTTACCTCTAATATAACACTATAACCGAATTACAAGCAAATTTTATAATAATTTAACAGTTTTTTTCCCAACCTTCCACTACAAAACTTTAAAACCTCAATCCTTTACTTTTGTGCACGCATTATTTTAGCATTTTTCAACGAAATTTTCGTCAGAAGAAATTTTATCTCATGGATATTATTCTGACAGAAATTCCATCGGAAACTCATTTCTGACAGAATTCCATCAGAAAATGTCATTTTTCCGACAATTAACTTTTCGACACACATTTTTCAATAGAATTCCATCGAAAATGAGTTTTTCGACATATTTTTCAGTATTTAAAACATAATAAATCCGTTGGAAACAAGTTTCATTCTTATAGCGTATTAGAAAGATGATTTTTATAAGTTATTCTCAAATAAAAAATATTGAAAAAAATCTATCACCATATTAATTTATCAAAATTTAATTTATAAAATAAATTTAGTAGCACTAATCATACATAATTATACGCTGGAAGAACTTTTATCGTGAAAAATGTCGTTTTTCCACTGAATACTTTTCCAACAACCATTTTTCGATGGAACGAAAAACGAAGAATTATCGACGATTTTTTTTCATTGAAAATCTCTGTTTTCTAGTAGTATCAGAAAAGATATTATAATATCTTTCTTTATAAATAGTAAAAATAATAAAGCAATTATTAGTTTCTAATTCACCCTATACTATACCCTAACTTATTAATTAATTCTAACAAAGTCACTAAACTATTTTTAGGAAAAAAAAGTGATACATATTAAATAAAGGTTCCTAAACTATTGCTGACTAAGCTTAGTCCTTTGGTTAGAAACACCAATTTGGGTGGTTGAGGGATTAAAAGCGCACACCTAATAATTAAGGAATCAAAAGTGCACAAATACGATAGTTTCATTAGGAACTGCATTTGGTCTTTACTCGCAAATTTAGCATTATAAACGCAGTACTTGACAAATTACTATCTATAATCTGAAATGCTATTTGTTATAATGAAATTACGAGTAAAGATCAAATACAGTCCTTAAACTGTGGCAAAAGTTTGATTATTTTGTCTCTCAACTTTCAAAAGTTGAATTTTGGTCCCGTAACCACCAATGAGTAATTATTTATGGTGGCTAGTGCAATGACTCAGTAAAGTTTGGGGACCTCATTATATTTTATTGTTGACATGGCCAAATTTTAGGGAGTAATGCTGGTTATTGGACCAAAGTTTAGGGACTTTGCATTTTTTAATACAATTCCTACTATATATGATAATTAACCATAAATACCCTTATTCAGTGACTTTGCATTTTTTTTTATTCAATTCCTACTATATATGGTATTAACCACATATACCCTTACCTAACCAATCTAATACTATTATTTTATTACTCAATTAAATCTTGAATTTATTTAATTACCGTAGGCGTCATTTTGTAGCATATGTGAATATGTTTGACAATCATAAGAAGCGGGATTTGACATTACATGACAAAGGATTAGCAAAGTAGGGAGCCGCCAACAAGTTTTTAAGGGACTTGTAAACGTTCACGGATCATTTATGGCAGTCATGATTAGAGACAACTAAAGGCAACAATGATTGATCCGTAAAGTTACACCTCTTTCATAATCCAAAGATTACTAATTCTATATGGAACCGTGAAAGGAGGGAGGATCGGGGATGATGGTACGAAGTGAGTCATAGAAGTCAACTTCAACCGTATTGACCTCTACTCGATTCTTATAGCGAAAATTTTATGTGACCTCAAAGACATGCAAACAAAAAAGATTCAATTTTCTCCAAACAAGATTAAGCTAAATCGGTTAAATATTTAATCATACATTATTTTAAATATTAGTGATCACTTGATTAAACAAAAGATTAAAAAGGAACTTAAACTGGTCGTCTAAATTATTGTATTAAGCATGACTTTCAATTACATATTCCCTTTGAACATGAAAAAGGTAATAAAAAATACAAACAATAATATTGGAAGCAATGTAACTATTTATACACAAAAATTGATGTATAAAGAACAATAAAAATTGTTACAACTATAATAGGAATAAAAAAAAGCATGATTCTCACTTTGATTGCTTTTGTTTGCAACTATAAAACAAAACACGCTAGTAACTTAAATTAAATTAAATGAAAGTAAAATTGATTTGGTCCAAACCCTTAAACAGTTCTATCTTTCACGCCTTGAATTAAGTATTGAATTTCGGGCAAATTACTGTAGGCGTTGTTTGAAGTGCGCCTGCATAAGCATGTTCTGAATATGCTTGGCACTCATAGGAAGTGGAAATTGACATATATGATTAGGGACAAGGAAATTAGGGAGTCTCCAACAAGTTTTTTTAAGGAACTTTGTAAAACGTTCACGGATCATAGAAGGCAACCACGATAAAGCTAAGAGATAACGAAAGGCAACAACGATTGACCCGTGAAGGTTACACGCCATTCATAATCCATAAGATTACTAACTCCATATGGCTCGGAACCACGAAAAGAGGATCGGGGATGATGGTACGAAGTGAGTCATGGAGTCACATTCGTCCGTATTGGCCTTTACTCGATTCTTGGTCGGGTCTAAATCTACCGCAAGTGTACGGGTCAATTACAGTAAATATAGGGTGAGCAAGGTATCGTATCCACAAGGAGGTCTACTCAAGTACCAAATTAAGAAACTAGAATATTATTTAGACGACGAAAATATGAGAAAAGTAGTACTAAACTATAAACGATTAAGGCTTGCAAACTAATAAAACGATAGACAATAATAAGAAGTAGTTCTAGGTTTCGGGTTTCGCCAATTACTCTCTATAATGAAATTAAACTAATTGCAGGGTTGAACATATATAATATAACAATGATTGAATTACCAATAGTATGTAATCTCCTCTTCCAAGGTAGAAAACGCATATTTAAATCAACATTATGTCTACTTCCGTGATCACAACAATTGAAATAAACTCATTAAGAATAGGAATTCAAAAAGACCACCCCAAGTGTATAACTATTCCTAAAATTATACTACTTGACGTTTGATAATCCCACGAACTAGTATTGAAATTTCACTTCCGCTAATAATCCAATACCTTAAACATACAATCAATTGGCCAGATTAAGAGTACGAATTAAAACAAGATTATCAAATTGCAATTATATAAATCAAACCCAAACAAAGTAATCCAATTCATTGATAGATTATAATGGACTACATCCCTAACCTAGAACAAAGGAAATTAGCTAGACATGGAGATTAAGAAAACACAATCAATAATATATAACATTGTTAATTGCATAATCTTAAAGAGAAAAGAGTAAACTCCAATTATAGAAGTCGAACGCTGCTCTTCGTCTCCGTCTTTGTGTGTTCGTGCTCGCCGTGTGTGTCTTTCGATACTGCCTTCGCTTCCCCTTAAATACAGTATCTCAATTTTGAGGGTTTTTCTTCCAATTCTTTGTGCGTGTGCAGCTTCTGTTTCTTGGGCCATTAGGGGCTGGTGGGTATTAAATCCCACTACTACTACTTCTTTTGCTTATATGTTGCACGTGAGTATATAGTGGGCTTTTGTTTCTATTGTTTTGTTTAGTCTTTGTAAGTAATAAACCTGAAACAATATGAAAGTTGAAATTTTAGTAATTCCTTTGTCAAAATCGTATATTAGGGGTATAATTAAGTAAATGTTATCAATTAAGCTCAACAAAGTAAATTTCATGATAA